GGAAAAGTCAAAACGATGTGGTGAGCAGGATGACAATTTTAAAACTAAGGAGACAACAGATGCGAGTGATAAAGATGAGGGCGTGGGGACTATTTTCAAATTTAGAAGAGAAACAAATTCGGATGGAAATGCCAACTGCGGTACGAAGCGGCGCGTCAAACGCATAGGAGTGCGCAACGAGGCTGGCGAAATGACCGGACTTAAGGAGGTGGATTTGGATGAACTATTGGATTTGATGACGGTGCAGAAACTGAAGCCAAAACGGGAGGTGAACGGGAAAGTAAAGGGGGGTGTAGAACAAGAAGGGAAAGTTGAAAGTGGAAACAGGGACGGGCAGGGTGATGGAAGTGTCATTCCAGGGCAGAAAGTATTGAGCAGACGCAGACGTGAATTGCCCTTAACTAAGAGAGAGGATTTCAGTGACGATACCTTGCATGTGCTGAATGGAAGCGAAAGAATGCGTCGCTCTGTGAATAAAAGACGAAATTTTCGTAGGAGTAGAGAGGTGCGCGAGGCTAAAGGGACGGCGGAAGACACAGAAAAGGAAAACACAAATGATGAAACAGGAAAGGCAATACAATCCGCCGATGAGAAAGATAATGCAAATAAATCAATTCAAAGCCAGGCGCCGGACGCTAAGAACTCTGAACATCCGATGGGTAAACGAGCGGCCCATAATGTGGATGACGTAGCGGATAACAACAGCGATAAACGAAAAATGATAGAAACTGGAATGCTATTGGTAGATAACAGAAACTTTGCACCAGCGCGAGCGTCTGAAGATCTTTCGATGGGTCAAAGGGATGAACCCCCAATGAGACAAGGTGAAAACTACAATGAAGAACGAAAAACCATTGACCCTGCCTTGTTCGCAGACTATTTAAACCGAATGCCGGTTGACCAGCTGGCAGGTCCTACAGCACCCGGGAGACGAGAATCTCGCCTCAAAAGCGATGATAATCAAAGAGCTACTGATACGGCATTTCGAAGAACTGAACCGCTCGACGACGCAGCTGTTATTGCGGCGGATCGTAGAGCTATGAATGCTGCACGGGCCGCTTATATTAGAAGAGAAGGAAGAAATGGTGCCAACAATAAAGAACCACTTGAAATGGACTACAGAGATCTGATGGCGCGATTAAGACGACTCTCACTACGCAATCGTGAACGCGAGAGGGAGCGAAAGCGGGAGAAAGAACGTGATTTTAGCAACTCAGTTGGCGAGTTCGGGAATCAACAGTTCGATAATCTTAAGCAGGTCGACCAATATGCTCAAAATTTCGATGGAATGCCAGTCGATAATCTTTGGTATGGCAATGATCCATGGGAAGAAGATGGCGACAACGACAGCACGGACAACGACAGCAACAACAACAACAACAGTAATAGTCCACAAGAAACCGATTTACCTAAAACTGAAGAAAATACAAATAAAAATCAGCCGAATAAACAACGCACCGCACTGACGATTAAAATGGAAAATGGCGCCATCAAGAGTATTGAAAGAAAAGAGGAACCCAAAGGAAAGGAAAACGACGCGAGTGTGGCGAATGAGAAAGCCGGAAGCGAAGAAGAGGAGGGCAATGATAATCGGGAGTCCTCACCTTTTGGCTGGTTTGGTAAGAGTAAAAATAAAGCGAGCAACAGTAAAAGTGCAGAAGATGGCATGGTATTGAAAGTGAACGATCAAGTGCTCAACTGCACAGCGTTTAATACATTGGAGGGTTTTCTGAAATCAGTGCAGCAGCAAAATAAGGAAGTCAGTGACCGAAAGACTGATGAGAGTGTAAATGGCGCGGCTAGCGGTAATGCTACCGCTAAGAGTCATAATGGTAACTGTATAGACCGGCAAAGCGTTGGAGGCCACAAGCAAGGCAGTGGTGGACAGGGAAACGAGCAACAAGGTGCAAACGGGCACAGACACGGCGCGCATGAAGATGTCGGAAGGGGAGGGGGAGGCAATTGGCCAGCACATGGAGGTGGTGAACGCGGTGGAGATGGTCATAGCGGTAAGGATCATGGAGGCAGTAATGAAAATGAAGCTGGTGGACAGTCACGTGGTGGCCATACAGACGCCACTCATGGCTGGTTTGAAGGCGGAAGCAATGGTATGGGCAATGACAAAAAAATATGTGGTGGAAATAGTGGCGATGGTGGCGCTGGAGGTGCTAGTGGCAGTGGGCCCGCTGCGACTAACTACGGTCCGACCAGCAACGACGGTAATTCTTCTGATAATTTGAGCATGGAAACAATTAATATGACTGTTGAAATCCAACCAGTTACGCAGCGCCCAACGGGTGCGTACGGCCAGAAGGCGATGAAGCTGAATATTACCATAAATGCAAGCGTCATGGGCGATCAGAAGGCGAAGAACTTTTTTGGCAATGGCACGTTCAAAGTGCAGAGCGAAGAGCGCGAACGCCGTGGAATTTCCTTTCCTCAATTCGCGCCATTCAAGCGGTATGCAACAAAGCGAAAGTGTACCAAGCCGAAGGTGAGGTGAGTTTACAAGCACCTTAAAATAACGCACGCATGAACATTTACTCATTACGGGTTTTCCTTCGCAGTTGCGACGAAGCGTCCATGAGCGGGCGGGGAGCTGTGGACGTCATTACGTCTATATTTAACATGGCGAAATGCAATCCTCAAATGAAATCCTTATGGGCCAGTTTGAAGCACAATCAACAATGCATGAAGAAGGCCCCACCGCAGAGACCGGCTTTGAGAAAATGGTCTGAACAAACTGACTTTTATCAACACTTATTATTTAACTCTAAAATATTTTGCTCTCTCTCTCTTGCTCCCACTTCCAAATCAAAAGCAAAAAGATGACGTCAATCACATCGAAGACATGGTTGAGCAGGCACATGGAGGCCATCAGTGACATAATCGACGACCAAGTAGAGCAACGCTCCTGCATACCGCTGCCGCCCGAGCTGAAAATTTTCTACGAGCAGATTTTAGATGTCTTTGAGAGTAACTCCGCGGAAGGTGTGCGCGAGAAGCGCGGCAGCTTTGAAAGTCCATTCGTAGAGTTCAGTAAAGAAGTGCGTCTCATTGACCCCAATCGCGTTGAGCAGCGTTCGCGTATCGTTAAGAAACTGCTACGTGAATACGACGATTTACCTGCTGGGGAACAGCAGCAGATGGTTGGCGTGCGTAATGATTTGCTGCAGAACCTTGGATTTTTGGAAAGCATAAAGGAGGAGCAGACGCAGAGAAAGCGGGAGCAGGCACAACAACAGCAGGTGCTGGAACAACAGCGAGAGGCGGAGCCGGAACAGCAGCGGGCGCTGCCGCAACAGGTGCAAGTGCCAGCGATGGCTGATACTGAAGAATCTGAGAGTGAAATGCAAGCCCGACGGCAACGAGAATTGTTGAAACAGTTGGAAGAGGAAAAGGCTGACGATGAAGAGGCGTTAAAAGCGTACAATCTACCATACACGCCCGAATTTTTACGATTGTTGAAGGCGTCTGAATTGATGCAAGAGCAAGACATAAGAGAATATTAGTGGAGCGAGCGCTGAGGATGGAGAGGCTGCGTGGATTTGGCAGTGAGCTAAAGCGCGTGTTGTTGCTGCAAACTTTTAATGTGTGTCAAGTAAAAAAATTTATTTTTATATACTTTTATTTTTATTGCCCATTTTTTGTCCATTGATATTTATAATTATTTTGCGTGCATGTTTGTATATATCTTATTTTCTTTTACAATATAATTAAATAAATGAAAAACTGATCTAATTAAGATCTGGTATTTTCACTAATCAAAACTAGAGAGGGTATAACTGGCCAAAATCTAAAATTAAAAAAAAAAATGTCTTCGCGCAAATTTCACTGCAACGCTGTCAACAGAGGCCATCTTTTTTAAACAACACAGAACTGGAAGAGATTCGCTTTCGGCGTAGGTGCGACTGCAAGCGGGCGTCTGAATGGACAAAAAAGCTCCAGCTCTGAAAGTATTCAAGGCGATTCGCGGCGTGGTAACGGAGGAATTGGCTTCACTTGACATTTCCAATTGGCGTCAGTTGTCACAGAACAGAAAGGACTGGCGTACTTTGTTGGACTTGTCCAAAATCGCTTCGGCAGTTTCAGCGCCAATCAAGTAGAGGAACTACTACATGGGTTTATTTTTTCGAAAAGAGTTGCCACCTGCTGAACAATTGAATTGAAATTATTTAATAATCAGTACTATCTTATCCGCATCGTTCGTTCGATCTTCCCAGAAGGTAAAATAAGGTTTTACTTTTTTGAAAGGACTTGCCAAATTTTATAAAATTATATTCAGACTATTTAAAAAAAAAAAAAATATTACAAAATGGATATCAATCGAAATGGTTTTGAAAAGCCTTGGTTCTTAACTTCACTACAGAAGGGTTGCCACCTGTTTAAAAAAATAAAATTCAATTTAAGAGAATCAGACAAGAGAAATATGTATCAGGATATGAGTGCCAAAAGAAAGAGCTGTTCAGAAGGTAGTAGTATGAAAATATTTTGAAGAGGTTGCCACTTGCTTCCAATGTCCAATTTAGTTAGCTTATACAAAAATTATGAGAAATATAAAAATATACGGGAGTCAAACGAAAGAGTGTTAAAAAACCTTTAGTTTGAACATTTGGAATGTTCTGGTTCTGGGAATTGCTGAGGACACTTTTTCGTGAATTCCAAAAATTCTTATACATACATATGTACATTTACAAAGTGATTCTATTTAGTAATAAATAAAATAAAATTTACCTTCACACCTTTTCGGACCCTTATGAAAATATCATTGTAAGTCACGAAAAAATTGTGGCCAAATTTTAGCCCTATATTTCGGTTTTTCAGTTAGGGCTCTCAAAAAGCAGAATTTTCAATGAATAATCTTGTGTCCGCTACTTTTTTTGTAAACAATTAAATTTAACAAAAAATAAAAAAACCTTGTTATCCCGTAAATTTTAGTACATATTATAACGTGTAAGTTTGGAGTAGCTAGAACTTACCGTTGATATTTGGCATTTTTTTTTTTTGAAGATGTCGCTCATTTTCTTGCATATAAATAATCCTGGAACATGCCTCGTATGGAAGAAAATAACAGACACAATCTAATATGTACACATCCTAAACGCTTCTTACAAATTTTATCATCTACCAGATTCTTCAACTAATTAAACAAGTATTCCAACTGAGTAATACGTCACATGAAAATCTAGAACAATGTAGAAAGTTTTCTCCAAAATTACCTCAGTGGCCAGGAAACTTAAATGATAAAGACACAAATGACAATCTACGAAATGCCAGTATAATGAAAAAAGGGAGTAGCTGAACCATGCCAAGCAGAAAAGTGTCAGTCACAACCGAAAATGAGCTTTTGTATACGCTACATGAGCGTGCGTATGCATGTACGTGCGTGCATGTACGAAATTGCCATCAAACGCTCAATGTCACAACATCACTTTAATACCTACATACATACTACCAAAACTACTGCTACATTTAGCTGCCAAGCGTCATAAAGCTTGTTGCTCCTTTGCTCATCACAGCCTCCCTCACACCCCCACTTGCTTTTTGCTTCTGCCTTTATGTGAGTGAGTGAATGATGCCAATGTTTGTAAACTCATAATTGGAATTAATTATGCATTCGCACTTTATGGCCAATGTGATGGAGTGAAGTTTGTGTGCAACAGCAATTCCCCTACTACACACACACTAATGTTCAGTTGGAGTGGGGGGAAATAGAATTTCGAATAGAAAGGATGGAGCATCTAACTAGCGGCATTAGGTAGCTGCAGGGTGGTGAAGGGTTTTTAAAAGACTGTTATCTGACTGATAGTTGATGGCTGAATGCCTTCCTGACTGAGTAAACACTTATAAAATCGAACATACAAACACATATGTGAACATTATATGTACTACACATACTCATTCACATTCTACTTGTATATGTATTTGTGTGTCAAAAAGTCATATGCAAGCCACAAAGTGTTGTTGCCACTGCGATTAGTTTAAGTATGTGGCATATTCTCGGAAAAACCCCACACATTCACATACTTGTACTTATGTAGATAAATACTTTACATGTGTATGGGATATTTAAAATGGCGTACATTATGTATGTATGTATGTTTGGCTTGCTATTTAAGAGCATGCCATTCAATAATGACCATGGCTGATGCTCATCTCTGGATAAGCAATTTTGAAAGTTCATTTTCTTGGGTTAAGTGCAATTTGCACTAATCGTATTTCTAACGCTTACACTGCTAATCGAACATTTAAGTCGATACCAGCGGAGTTTGCGAGAAAGTAGAAATGCGAAAGTTCTCAATGTGTTTGTGTGAGTGTAAGTGAGACAAAATGTATATATATGTGTACGTACTAGGGTGATTAACTCGGTTTTCCAACAATTTTTTGGATATTTTTAGGCGTTTTTGTTTTGAAATCTTAATTTTTCGAATACCGAATAAGGCGGATTTTTTATCCGACAAACCGGTTTTTTTTTCATTGCATACAAATCTTGACCTGTCAATATAAGCTTTGACTGTTTCTAAGTTTTCAAAGCTCTTTCCAGTTTAAGGCAAACCCCTAAATAGTTTTAAAATTATATCCTAGGTTATTTGGGGATGAACGGTATATCATATTTGATTCCAATAAATGAATGTTTGCCGCTTAAACGATTTTTACCTGTTTGGCCGAGCTTCTCCTTCAATTCGTGCTCTGCTGCAGACGAAAATTTTTATGACAGAAGCGTGTACACTTGGAGGTTTGCCATTGTCTGCTGTCTGATGGGCGACCGCTATTTGAAAAACCTTTTTTTTTCTGATGTTGCTGGACCCTACTACTCGATCCGAAAAAAAGTCAGAAAAAATGCATGAAAGTATGAAAAAAGAGATCAAACGTGCATTTTTCACTGATTTTTATTTGTTTTTCTTTTGATCTAAAAAAATATTTTAACCCACATATTTTGCTTTACTCTTTTCTAAATACAATCTATCTTTATTGTTAATAGTTTTATTGTAATTTTTGGTCATAACTTCATATCAACATAAGCATTTTCATTGTATCAAAACTATGTAAAAGAAAAGCGGTTTATCCGGTTTAATCTTCATTTCAAAATCTGGAACCGGTTTTTTTCGAATTGCAAATTTTTCGAATAATTCGAAAGCCGGTTTTGTAAAAAGGCGAATAATCGAACACCCCTATACGTACGTATATGAATTTATTAAAATCTATACTTCACTTTCCATTAAGTTCATGTGTGCGCATACTTTTTCAATGCATTTTAGTAGTTCCTTCTAAAATGGCCTCTTGACCAAATACTTGGTTGATAACACTGTGCAGCAATTTCAGGGTTTTGGTTAACTGTCTCAATGCAACTATGCTCAAACGCAAGTAAATACATATCTATGAAGGATATACAAACCATAAGGACATTTTATTCTGAATCTTCCTAATTTTTTTACAGTGGGTTAAAGTTTACATCCTTTCGTACAAAATTGAATTATGTAAAATTATTACAAGTAAATTTATGTACGTGTATAAATTGACCTTAAACTTTATGCTTGTCATAGAAACAGTAAAAAAGCCGATTAACAGGGTGTAATCTACTCGTTCTTTTATTTTTCTTAAAAAAAATGTAGATTGCGAGGTTAAAATTATTGAAAAATTTTTGGTCAAGAAATTTTATAAGCTGCCGAAAATTTCCATTAAGTCGCTTAGCGGTTTCACGTTCAATTACGGGGTTTTTAATGCTTAAAAATTCAACCGTCAAACTCACATTAGAAAAGGTTTTTTTTGCAGGGATGGTAGCCCCTCGATCGTCAATAGGAAAAAGTCCGAATACACATATTTTTTGCCTTAAAAAAGCATTTCATGAAAACCATTTGCCATTCGGAGGCGGTGTAAAATTGTAGGTAGCTTCATTTGTGTTATGACATCAGGGCGCACACTACAAATTGGAGGGGAGGGGCGGCCAAACTCTTAATAAAAGTGTAAGCGCCAAAATTTTATTATTATTATTATGAAAACTAGGGAGTTTAAAGTTCCTCGCTGATATTTACTATTAGATCTCTGCAAACAAGAGGGTCCTGTTGTTTCAAATTACGATTTTTTTTACACCTCAACCATAATGAGTTTCTTCTCATAACCTGGACAGGTTCGGGCTTCCTTCCTCCATGCTGAAATAAAAATGGTCTCAAATCGCTCTAACTTCAGTTAATAGGACCTTGTGACATCGGTTACCAGGATCTAGATACGAGCATGCATTCCATGCTTGAAAAAAACATTAGGCCTTAAAGCTAAAATTACGCTATGGAACTTCGCCGTTCGCCGGCATTGTATTTCATTTTTTTCTAGATTACCGCTTCGACTAAGGAGAGCTTTTGTTAAAGATTTAACTTTATTTCTTTGGAACGGTACCAAAGCAAGTCTCAATCTAAGCTGTATGTATCTCGTTTAGTGAAGAAATTGCTCTTAAGCGGAATATATTACCAAGTTAAAGAACAGGAGTTGTGCTCATATGTGTGGGACTCGTTCAATA